ACAACCCAAAGCTCCTCACATCACACCTTAACATGTGAAGCAGACAAATCGCACAGGCAGTTATCTCCAGCACCTAAACTCCGCACCTCTCGTTTCTCACACTCCATGCATTAAGAAGAAATGGAGCTGCAGGCCACCTTTGATGTAAATAAATGTTTTCATTGAAAAAAGAATAAAAGACTATGAATCTCATAACCGTTACTTCCCTGCCCTTCCCAGCCCTGCCTCTTAGCTGATGGTTGCCCTTCCATTTTATAAAAAAAGTGGGGGAAGAACAAACGGTTCCTCCACCTTCTTTCTTTGCTTCCTGAACACTATTTCCCTGTTTCTTCGTCAGTTTTTGTTGTCTTGTCTCCTCCTGGGAAAACTTGATACCTGTACTAGCCTGCCTAATCTCATCCTTTCCTTCTTACACAGAACCAAGTGTCATTATTTATTATTTTTCTCCTTAACTGTCAGTTTTCCTCTTGTGTTAGTTTCTTTGTCTTTGTAGAAAGCAATTCTTTGCCCTTCTCCACTCCTTTGTTTGAATAGGCAGCCTAACTTCTAATCTTCATCTAAAATCCAAAGCACAGGTCCAGAAACCGGCTCTGTCCTGCTCTGCTCTCCAGGCCTGGCAACCTGCTGCTCACCTCCACACTGCACTTACCACACTGGGGGACTGCTGTACACACTCTCCTGCTTTCTCTACTGAATTAGTTTTGGACAGCTTGACAGTAAGGGTTTAGTTCTAATTATCTCTGAATCTCACCAGGTAACACTGTGGCACAATGTAGGCCCTAAATAAATGTTGATTGGAAAATAACAATTTATTCTAAAAACAACACACCAACAAACACCTCAACATGTTGACTTTCTTTTGACCTTATTTCCTCCTCCCATACTAACTTCTTTTTTTTTTTCTCATTGAGTTTATTGGTACATGTTAGGTATACAGTACAGTTATATTCATTATTGGGATCTTGTACCTTTACAGGACAGGTCTTGGTTGTCATTTTTTCCCCTTGTCCCTGCCCTCCCTTCACCCCCTCCTCCCCTCCCCATTTACAAACACTTTATTTCCATTTTTTCAGTTTCTCATATCCATACTAACTTCTGATACTTTATCCTCACATTGCTTGAAATATTTATCTGTATTCCTTATTCATTACCAAATAATCTTTAAATTCTTAGACTTGCCCTTTGTCCCCATAGAAGGGAAAATGACTTCCTTGATGACGCCTTTTTGACATTTGAAATATTTGATATTGATGATCCTTCCTTGAAATGCTCTTCTCCTTTAAATTCTGTTCACCTAAGCATTTGGAGTCTCATTACTTCTTTAATCAAATTACCTCTTGGTCTTGATCTCCTAGGCTATCATCCGCCCTTCTACCACCCATTAATTATGGATATTCCTTAAGCTTTTGGAGGGAGATATTCCCTCCCTCCTCTAGGGATATTATAAATATCTGTGACTCCAATTATTTTCTCCATGGGAATGATTCTTCCATTTATATTCCAATCATGTTCTTTCTTCCTAGCATCATTATGTCCTGCTGGTTCTTGAAACTTAAAAACTTGTAAACTAAGTTAAAAATTTTCAGCTAAACTTGTTCCTTCTCCTGACTTTACAAATTCACCCAATGGCACTGTTATTTTTCGTTATTCTATTTCAATCTTATTCATCTCTGATATCACTATATCTCCAATCCCATATACTCAGGAGTTCATTATATCCTATTGCGGTTTTGTCTGAAATTTCTCTCTCTTCTCCTTTCACACGGCTGTTTCCCTAATCAAGACCCCTATTAGCTCTTGTCTGTAGCATTGCAATAATCTTTGAGCCTCTAATGCACCCTTCACACCACTGCCAGAATAACCTTAAACAACTCTGATTATATCTTTTCCTAATTCAAAATATCTTTAATGACAACTCCATGCCTATTTCATAGGGTTGATATCATTTGCTTGACAATCAAGGACCACATGTAACAAATTTTCTTTTCATTTTTATCTTTCATTGTTCTCTTGCATATACCTCAAATATTTTTTTGTCTCAATACAATTTGTAGGCTTTTACTTCCACGCTTTTGAAATATATCTCTTCTACTTAAGGTACCCTACCCCACTTCTGGTTCCACTCACTGAAGGGTTTTCTTTTCAAACCCCATTCAAACGCCATCTGCTCCATGATGCCTTCCCCGATTACTTCAGCCAAGAACAATCTCTCCTGTTTTAAAGTCTCACACATTCTGTTTGGACTATTATGAGACACACTGCTTTGTGTTTGTCACCTGGCCACCTGTCCTTCTTGAGTATGAATGCATATCTAATGCATCTTTGTCTTTCTCACAATATTTTGGGGGAGAACAGATGCTACTCAATGTTTTCTGATTGAGGGAAACCCCTAGCTTTTATATTTCTTTTGTCCAGTGTATGGTGTTTGCATCTCCACAATTAGAATGTCAGCAGGAGTACATGAAGAAATTGAAAGGCTGTCATTAAATGATGGTTAAAAGTTCTGTGATCTGTCTTTCATTTAATCTCTCTTAAATTCATTTTGGATGGTAAACTAGTACGAGTAATAAACCTAAGTTTGAAGAGGAGAGAATTCAACCCCAATATCGAGCTCATCCACCAGCCTTTCTGTAAAATGCACTCAACCTCACCAATCTGTAGCTGTTTCTTAAAGAGGGTTGGTATCTCTGTGCAGCCTCAAAGGAGCAATAGTGAGAACTACAAATTACCTTCATACCTTAAAGTGCTATAATCCGGTGGCCATCGCCTCAGTCCTATGTGCTACCTTTCTTTTGAATTTCCATGACTTTTCTTGGATTTCCCACTACCATATACCTATCGAAGTGGATTGACTCCTGGCCCTGAACTTTTGTACATCCACATCCAAATCCCTAGAACCTCCGTTTACTACCCCATATAAAAGAAAGAATATTACCTTATATGACAAAAGATGTGATCAGGTTAAAGATGTCGAGAGGAGATGTTCACTCTAGACTGAGTGGCCACTAAATGCCATGGCATATTATGACATATATCATTATAACAGAAGCACAGAAAAGGCAATGTGAATACAGAATGCAGCTATACATCAGGGAGTAGCAGCACCGCCAACAGTCATCAGAACCTAGGAGACAAGCACAGAAACAATTCTATCCTAGAGCCCTTCTGAAGGGAGCATGGTCTTGCCACCTCCCTGATTTTGAATTTCTTGTCCCCAGGACTGTGAGGAATCACTGTGTTTATGGTAATCATAGGTCTACGAAACTAACATTCCTGTCTCATCTGGAGATACATCCTATCCTGATGCTTAATATTTGTACCCATGCCTTGACTTTCGTGCCAACTACTTGAGAGGTTTGCTACCACTGGGCTTGAAACTCTTTTTCAGCAGTTATCTGTTGGAATTCTATTATGTACTAAGTACTGCTTTGGATCCCAAGGTTAGAAAAAACAGTTAAGATTTCATTTTATGCCCCACAGAAAGTCAGTCTTTAGAGGATTAAAGGAATCTAAGTGAGGGATAGCATAAAGAAACTTCCTGAAGGCGACAACATTAAACTGAGTTCCAAAGTTGGAATTGGGTTTGACTGACTAGGCTGGGGGTGGGATGTAGAAGATAAAAACAATTTTAGGTTAAAAAAAGATAGCATGCACCAGGTCAGAGGGACTGGCCTTCATGATGGGAATATGTGTGGGGAACTGGAATTGCAGGAGCCCTAGCTGGAAACTTACAGAGGGTTGGGGCAAAGACAGCTTTATGTGCTAAAGTGAAGGGGAAAAACCCACAATTTTAGTCTTTTAGTTAAACCACATACAGTAGTTCTAGCTATATAGTCAGTACTTAGTGGATGTTCCCTGAGTGACTCTATGTTAAAACAGAAATAGTTAAAAAAAAAAGCTAATGAAAGAGACTGACAAATGAAACCAAAAATAAATAAAATTATGCTATGTTAAAAAAGTTAGCATTGCTGTTAAGATATTTTCTTATGGACTAGATGTCTAAATATGTTGGTTATTATCTGTAATTAAGATGAAGACAGTTGAGGAGTAAATAAAATTTATAGATACAACAGTGCAAAGGATATTTTACAACTTGCTACCTCTCAGGCTGCTTTTATGAGGTCCACAGAACAAGTTTGCTCAGTGCCATGGGTCCTAATTAAAAGCCTCTTGGAGAGCTGAGGAGCCACTCGGAGGCGTTGAGGTGAAGGTGCTCCTCTGCCATGTCACACCTGCTGCTCCCAGGCACGACAGAGAAGCAGACTTCAAATTGTGGCAGTGAAACCTAAAGCTACAGGAGACCTTGGCTGGGCGCCTGTCAGAAACTCAAATGGAAATCCGTCCGAGGAATCAGTGGGAGGTGGGAAAAATTGAAAAATCCCTGAAGCGTTCAGTGAGTATGGGCTTGTCAGAAGTCCCAAATGGAGACGTCTGAAGAAATGGTGGAAGGTAAAAGTTAAAAAAAAGTCTATAACCAAGAACTCTGTCGTATTAAAGTGATCCAAAAGAGAAGCAGCAATGTGGTCTCTCAATTCAGAATTGAAGAAGAGGAGGTGGAGAATTATTTATTATGATAAATAATGCCGGGCCTTACAGAAACAAAACAAAACAAACTGTCTTAGTTACTTCTCTTGTTGCTGAGACAACATGCCCACACCAAAAAGTAAAGGAAAAAGATTTATTTTGTTTCACATTTACAATTTGTGGTTATTTGGCTCCCAGAAGGGGACAGCATGGCAGTGGGACATAGCAGAGGGAGCTACTCCTGGCCTGGGGCAGCAGAGAGCGAATCAAGGAAGGAGGGAGTGTGTATCTGTGCATTTGTGCGTGCGTGAGTGTGTGTGTGTGTGTGTGTGTGTGTGTAGATAGGCTAAGCCTATCTTCTTCTAGGCCATGCCTCCAATGACCCACCTCTTCAGAGCAGGCTCCACCTTCCAACGTCATAATTAGCTACAAAATCATCCAGGAGAATCCACCGAGAAGCCCTCCACCCCCTGTGAACCAATCACCTCCTACTAGCCCCACCTATGAGCATTTGAGGGTTTTTTGGTGGGGGGTCATCTAGATATAAACCATAACACAAACAAAAACCAAAAAGAAATCTGAAAAAGACAGCAAGATCCCTGAAGAAATAGTTTGGAGAAGTTAGAAACTGAGGAAGATGGAAATGAGGTATCCAGCCTGCCTCTGGCACTGACAGGTGAGACGAGAGAGAGAGAGAGAGAGAGAGAGAGAGAGAGAGAGAGAGAGAGAGAGAGA